GGCCGAGCCGACAGGCAGCCCCCGCACGAACCTGCGGCACAGCCGAGCGCTCAGTCCCTGTCCCCCCTGCCATCCCGCTCCCCCCCAGTAAGAGATGGGATTGCCCTTACTGGTCCCCGTTGGCGGCGGGGGGGAAGCTGCGTCTCACCACCTCCACGAACTCGGCTACGGTGTCGGCCAGTGTGAAGATGACGGCGTTGGGGCCGGCGTCAAAGGTGTAGGCTACCTGCGGCGGGATGGAGGGCGGGACACAGGGACCTGGTGAGGGACCACGACACCGCAGCAAACCGGGAGCCCTGCGAGGCCAGCGCGGCTGACCGGTACCTTGGTGCGACCGTGGTGGGCGTTGAAGCGGTGTGCCAGGGCGATGATGTGCCGCGAGAGGTCGTTGAGGTAGAAGATGGGGGGGAAGGTGTCGAGGCAGGTGGCGTGGAACTGGTTGCTGTCCTGCATGGTGAGCTGCCCGAAGCCCTCGAAGTCCCGCTCGTGGATGTGCCGTATCATCAGGGCCAGGCGCTCCGGCACCACCACCTCTGCCCGGTGCTGCCGCGGCAGGCGGGTCACGGTCACCCCAGTTCGGGGACACCCACGGCACCGCGACCCTTCGGGCTTCGCCTGGGTGGCATTGCGAGTGCAGCCCCCCTGCCCTCCCTCCGTGCCCCCCAGCACGGACAAACGTCCCCCCCCAAGTGATGCAGGACCCCAAGCTCTGCCTGCAGGCAGGAGGCAGGCAGCTGCCCGGGGCAGGATCAGGCCCGTTGCCCCGTACCTTTAGCAAGGGGCTGGTGTCCACGCTGGTCTGCATCCCCGCCGTGCTGCCCACCTGCTTCTTCTCCCCGCTGACCTGGGGGGGGACACAGACAGTGGGATGTGACCCCCCCCCGAGCTCCCAGACCCACCCAGGGGGATCCCCTGAGCCCCGGGGTCCACACCCACAAGGGGTTGGGGTGCTCCCAGCACCCTCCCCTCAAACCCCACCCATCCGTGCCCCTTCCCCAGCCCCTCACCACCAGGACGAGGACCCTGAGCTCCGGCCAGTGCGTCTCGGGGGCCACTTGGTGGGCGAGGCTGTCCCTGCCGTCCGGCCGCTCGCCCCGCTGCCACCGCACAAAGC